CCTTGCACCAAGCACTCTCCTTCCTCTTCTTTAGCAAACTCAGACAACACAGAGGGAGGGGACGCTTACGGCCCCTGCAGCCAGATGCATCTACAAGAACTGACATTTTCCCCAAAGAGCTCAGACGTAGAAGCTGAAATTCCTCCGTGCTTAGACAGTTAAAATGGGGAGTCCCTGAAGGAGGGAAAGAGGCATCTGATGAAGGAAGCAACCTTATTTGTGAAAACAGATGAACACTAACTAAACCTCGGGTGAAGCTTGTTTACCCTCCACCCCAACGACTGTAGCCCTAAATCCTCTTGCAGTAGTCAGCCAAAATGTAGTGGTAGGCCCAAGGAGTGCTTACAAGCATAGACTGTGGAGCACAAGGGGTGAAGCATTCCTGTGTTAAGACTGAAGGCTACAGGTAAGCTGAGGCAAGTGCACACCACCAAAGCCTATGCAACAGGTGCAAGAGCAGTATATTGAGGTGCCCAATAAGTCAAGATAGCACTAGAGATTCCCAAAGTCTGGTGGGTATTCACAAGAGTGACACAGTTGTAGGATAAAAGGTGCCAATACAAACAAGGCCACCTCACCGAAGCCACACTAATAAAAATATGTTGCACCCATAACAGCAAAGCTGCAACACATTATTTAAAGTGTAAACAGTAGAAAGGCATCATGGCACACTCACAAGTCAGCATGTAAAACCTTGTCTCACCACTAAGGTTAATAACAGAGGTTTGGATACACGTCTTCTGCAGAAAATGTGAAAGCCGCACCGCCGCGCCAAGGCACCTCTTATAGTGCGGTCCTAACTCTAAACTATGAGAGTCTCCATCTTGGAGCACATGGGGGCAGAAGATTTCAAATTGGGTGCAGGTTTGTCAGGAGGAAGCCCAACCTCCTTAAAAGGCATAGGAACACACAAGGGATCCCGCACATCCCAATGGCAGCTGAGAACCCCCATGTGTCCCTGCACCAAATCGGTCAGTTGAGTGCGTTTGTCATTTGTTTTGCTTGACATTAAAGTGTCGCAATCACAAGTGCACTTTTAAAAGAACCACAGTCTCTCTGCATCCAGTACCCCCAAAATGTGGATGTGAAACCCAAAAAAGGCTCCACGTAGCCCAGTAGGGCAGGGGAATCAAAAGCTCTAGGATCTAGCTCCGACGTACGAACTCAACAACACTTTGTCCCTCAAGAATCAGGGAAAACTTCACCCACTTTCAGGAACCAGACTTCACTGGCTGATGGACCACAACCCTAAACCTGTAGCATCCTGTGGCCAACTCTGTGCACTACACTATGCATGAAGCTGAACGCCTAATGCCCAAGTGACATTGAAGGCCAGCCTTGCGTCTTCATGTGGCAGGGTTCAGGTGTGATCCCCAAGGCTCAATGCCATAGGCATTAACCCGGAAGTTGAAATATGGACAGCCATAGTGGCTATAGTGCAGCTAGAATCTTAGTAGAACAGTTAGAGGTAGAGGAAATCCAGAGAGAAGTATCCATAACCTCAGCACACTAGCATTATGTGAAGGTACCTGCGTATAATCCAGTCAACTATGACTCCGCATGGGTCCTGTACGAATAAGAAAATTTAGTTTTAAAGTAAAGGATAGCACAGGTAAACATATTACATGATTACATAATACAAATCTATACCCCCTTTTAAATGAAGTTGCTCTGACTTTACTGTCACAACAACCACTTCAAGAGATACAGTCGTGTGAAAAAAATGTTTTTTTGCAATTTGAGCATTGCACGATCTGACCTTGGGGTGTATTTGCTGGGATGTCCAGTCCTGGGAAGATTGGCAACTGGCTTGAATGTTTTCCACTAGTGAATAATCTTCCTCCCTGTAGAATGATGGACTTTAAATTGTTTGGAAATTGCCTTATAACCATTCCCAGATTGATGGGCAGCAATACTTGCTTCTCTAAGATCATTGTTGATGTCTTTCCTCCTTGGCATTGTATTAACAGGCGCCTGAATGCTCCAGACCAGCGAACTGCTAAAACTTCAGCATTCATAGAGGTGGTTACACTTGCTGATGATCAATTAATCAAAGGCATTAGATGAGCAGCACTCCATTTTGGCTTTATGTTTGTAAAATAAATAATAATGACACAGTGTAATGTGTCATGTGTTGTTCATCTGAGGTTGTATTTACCTAATTTTAAGATCTGCTAAGGAGCAGTTGATTTATATTATGTCCTGATACTTAAAACCATACAGTTCAAAGAGGGTGTACTTTCTTTTTCAAACGACTGTAGAGCAAGTATTCAACATGGATATGAGGACAAGAAGGAAAAAGAAAAAAAAAAAAACTACTATGAGGTTAACATAGGAAGTGCACACAGTGCCTGGAATCTCATCCATACAAAGTCTAAATTATTTTTTATTTAATGGTAAAGAAATTACCTTCCAAAATACTGTTGCTCCAGACTGATAATGTTTAATGCACAAAATGTCTCATTTATTTGATGAAATATACCTTCAATTGCTTTTTGAAAAGCTTATTAATATATACCGTACACTACTGGTCAAAAAAGTTTAGAACCAGTTTATGTTTCATAGCTGATTTTGTAAAACCTGATAACAGACAACAAAGCTCATAAATGGAATAGATGAAACATAATTAGGAAGATGTTAAAGGAAAAACCCCTAAGAAAAGTCTGAGATTATGACTGCTCAAGTTAAAGCACATCTAATGCAATTGATACAAAGGGTGCCATTACTGTACTGTTACTCCCTGTAACATATATAAAAATTTTAACATAAAAACTGCATTTTCTACAGATATTCTGGTGAGGCCAGCTTATTAGCCTCAATGTAGTTTAGCTTGTCTATTTTTATAAAGTGAATTGACTCTGCTTTCTTGAACAACTTCAGACTAGAGTAATGAAGTTGCCATCTCAACAAGAATTTGCACAATGTCTCAGCTCTCCTTATTCACAGTGGAAACAAAAATTGGGAGATTAAAAGCGAACATACATTTTTCTGAATATTTCAAATTTAGGCATACACACACAAAACATTAATATGCTACACTTTTATAGTGATAGTCAATTACTTTTAAACAGCACCATCCATTACTATGTGGACATTTATGCATTATGCCAATGATTAACTCTTATACAATGTTACCTAAATAAGAACATAATTTCAGAAAACACTACAACCCCTTTAAAAGAAAAAATATATACTCTCCTTGAGTTTTTAACCTGGAAGAATAAAACAATAAAAAAAATATGAAGCAGGTTGTGTAACCCCTCCTTTGAATCTGAATGTCAAAGCCAATAAAGTCAAACTCCAATTTCCACAACGTCAGGTAGGTCCGCCCAACACACGTTACGCCCAGCGTGACTGTCAGGGGTACAAAGCTTCTGATGTTCAATTCAGTTCAATTCGTCTCTGTTGCTTAGGTAACATTCCTACAACTAGCAGGTCAGGGACATAATGGACGTAATGTGTTTAGGGTGGCGCTATCTACGTTGAGGAGAGCAGAGGCAGTTGCACATCGCGGAACGAAAAGTCAGCGTTCTTTGGATGCATTGATAATTTTTTATCCTGTAAGAAGAATCTAAAATAAAGTTTTAGCCATTGTTACAGTACGCACTATTGTTCGTGTGTTTCTATCTTCCTGAGTTCCATCCTTATGGTGAGAGGAAAGAAGTGGAGGAAAGATTTCAGAAGGAATTAACCGTCTGGGAGCCATATTCGGGAAATCCCTCCTGGCATTAAAAAAAAAAGGATCTGCACTGTGTTACCTGTTTCATTGGGTCTAAGTGGAAGGTGAGCCTTCTCCCATATGGGTTTACATCACTGTCTACCAGGGAGAGGTGGAGGATTCACCTATTGATTTCACATTTGGGACACCTCAATGTTTATTGGATTTTGGGACTACCAGACTTTCTAACATGCAAGAACTGTATAGATTTTGAAAGATCACATTTTGATTTCATGCTTTTTTGATGAATATTGTTATATAAGCACTTGACCTATGGGCACATCTGTTCAATAGCACGTTTTGAGTTATAATTCTAGTTCTTTTCTATATATGTTTATATTTTGCATATGTAATTGTGTTTATAAATATTAGGGATTGATAGCTTGGCACTTTTTGATTGAGTTTATATTATTACTTTACATTGGTGTGAGTGTTAGTGCCTTGCCGTTTAGCACACATATTAGGGCGCGGTATTATTGAATATTTAAATAGAAACTCCAATTTTGCTTGACATTTTTGTATTTCTTCTAGGTGAGCTAAAACATTGCAAGAATTTAAGTAAGCATTTTCAGACTCATACTTTTCTATGTTGTGAAACATTGTTTGTATCACCATATCTTTTATATATGCATATATGCACATATATATGTATACAACAAACATTGAACTACTATGGCAGGGGGAGGCCTGATTTATTTGTACTTCGTGTATACTTTTAAGAAGCAGGATCAAAGAAGTCCCAAACCCTAAATTATGATAACTGGACAAGGACTGACAACCATTTGTCCCTGCTTCATTTAAGACTGTATAACTTGCAAAGCTATGTTGGTCCCTTATTAAAAGAGAACTATGACCAAACCTATTTTGGCCGTAGTTCTCATTAGCGTCACAGGAGGACATTTACAAACATCCCCCTATGACCCAAAACTCAGCATATAGCGAGCTTAACCACTGCCGGGATGAATCCCGCTATCTGACTGACAGCTGGCTCTGCCTCTCTAGAGGCAGAGACAGCTGTGCCTGCCCCCTCCCCTGACTGTACCTCCAGTCAGCGCTGGAGGAACAGAGAGGGGGGAAGGGAGTCCCTGTGGGGAGTGGTGACTGACGGTCACCGCTCTCTGCAAGGAGAAGATTGTGAACTGAGTGATCTGCGGTATGTGATTGCTTAGTTCTCAATCAATAGAACTGACATGGGACAGCTGAAGTGGCTCTAACTATTGGGATGGGTGTATGTCACTCATTCCATATTTCTCCTTTAGATAGGATACATGGAATACTCTACCTCAGGTAGCTGCCAAAGTATGCCACGATGTTTGTGTGTTTGCAGTCCTTCATCATTATAATCTCCTGCTGCACCACCGCAAAGTCTTCTCCTGCAGAAAATAATACATCAGTTTTTCAAGAGAAAAATCTCATGTGTATTAAAAATACATGCATACATTCTTGAGAGATCAGTTCCAATATCGCACAGCAGAAATAGCTCTATATTCTCTAATACACGTTCCAAATGAAATTACGTTTACAGACATAAAGTGTATTTTAATGTTATCGTTTGCATTGAATATAAAAATAAACATATGCCAGCAATGTACACATGAAGCAGGCATAAGCAGTTGCTGTATATGAACACAGAAACATACATTTTTTGTTAGCTTTCCTCATCATATCCCCGTGAAAATGGCTGCCTCTGTGTTTTGCAAGCTCTCTCTGAGCTCTCCTCCACCCCTGTTCATGAATATTCCCATGAACAGTGTATAGTGTGCAAAGGTAGAGCTGGTGTTTAGTGATTGTGTTACTTAGAATCATACAGGGAGGGGGCAGCTGTTGACATCCTGCTTTACAATCTGAACCCGGTGTCAGATTTAATTTCCTGTGGAGAACAATTTGGATTTTTAGGCTTCAGGCCTAATAAAAAAGTTAATTTAAAAAAATGAGCTTTCCAGGAAGTAATATTCAGTGTGCCCTCATGCCATGTGTTATGGAACTGAGAAATAATGCATGCTGATTCTGTGCTGTGTTCCTCCAAACCAAAAAGGACATACATTAGGCAAGTGTTCCTGAACTGTGTAGTTTTACTTTCTATGATATTGTCATCATTTCTGTGTGAGAATCCTGAGATCACTGTCAGAGCTATCTCTGATTCAGTATTATTGAGCTATTTGAATACTGCAAGATAATTGTGATTTCTCAGATGTATGAGAGTTAAAGGAGAACTATGGGGTTAAGGCTTTTCCCCATAGTTCTCCTTAGGGTAACGGGAGGACAGACTAGGTCTTTTCAGGTGAATCTTCTGTTGCAGTGCACACTTGCAGTTTTATTATTTAAAGGAACAATGCCCTTTTTGGTCTGGAATTCCTTAGCTAGTGTTAGCTTAGGGAACAGTACACATTATATAGTAGGCATCCGACGGCCGATTAGACAGTTAGAGGCCCAGTTGCATTGATAGCCTACAATTAGAACAAGGGCCCAAGAGATAATGGAAAAGAATGGAAACCCATTCTTCCATTTAGTGAAGGCTCTGGCTCACATAGTTACCTGACCACCTGATGTCCAGCCGTTGTACTTAACGGCCTGACTGTGGCTTCCTGGATGCAGGTGGACATTTTTAAACGTCCTTGTGCCCACCAAAAGGTGCTCCCCTCCCCACTTTTGACGATTCCGGGCTCCGCTGTGCCCCGTAGGAGCCCCGGACTGGCATGGCAGCCCTGTGACCAGAGATTGGAGGAGGATCAGCACATGATCTCCCTCTGATCTCCCCTCCGATGTCTGAATGCAGAAGTGATGTGTATTACATCACTTCCGCATTCATCTATCATTCTCTGGCTACAGAAGCCGGAAACAAGCTGGTGAAGTAGATCTCTGCTTCATCAGCTTCTTTGGGGGTCCATAGGTGACATTGGGGGTCTTAAAGACCCCTTCTGTATACATAAAGAGGACCTGTCGCTGTAAATTTGCTATCAAATAGGGGGATTCAGAGTGTAAAAAAAAAAAGGTTTAAAAAAAATTAAAGTCAAATAAAAAAAAAAAGATAAAGTCACATATTAAAAAAAACTAAACCTCCCTCCCCCAAAAAAATGTTTAAAGTCTCCCACCCCCTCAAACAAACACAAACATGTGTTGGGTGCGCCTACATGAGAAGATGACAACTGTGCCCATTGTGCAGCACATGTTACATATCACCATGAATGTGGGAGTGTGAGCAATAATACTAGTACCATTAATCACACTAAACTGACGAGCGGTAAAAGCTTTTAAAGGGTCGCCTATAGCCAATTTTGGGTATGGTAGTTTTTTGCGATTTCGCGGACGCACACAATTTTAAGGCTTGACATGTTTGGTGACTATTACCCGTGACCCCATCTTTTATATTTTAGAAAAGAATTGCGTAATAATAAATGTTTTAGAGCTGCAGATTTCATAACATAACTTTGTTTTTTTTTTATTTTCGGTACTTTTTTCTTTATATAGTAAAAAATAAAAAACCCCATTGGTGATTAAATAGCACCAAAAGAAAGCTCTATCTGTTCCCAAAAAATTATATAAATTTCATTTTAGTACAGTGTTGCATGACTGCATAAATGTCAGTAAAAAAAACCTCAGTGCTGAATATTGAAAAATGGCCTAGACAGGAAACGGGTTTTAACACCCCGGTCATCAAGTGGTTAAAGTGACAATAAAGTCCGGAGTTAAATCTTAAAAATACATTCAAGTACCCTATAAACAAAAATTTAGCTTATTTGTGCATCACCTGACTGTAGATCCTCAAATCCTCTCTGAATGTGTGCTGACACTGTCCTTCCTTCTGGAGGTTGGCTAATTTTGCTCCAAGCTCACTCCCTAAATGGACAACAATCTCACATTTAGTATACAAATTTGTATTGAAATTGTTCCATCTGATGAGACCAAGCCCAAAACCATTATGGGATTATAGGCTCTAGGAGGTCTCGTGTGGAAGTGGGACTGTCCTCTCTGTGTCTTAAAGACATGTTGCGTCCAATGCAGCAGTAATGCAACTAGCCCCAATTGAAGCTAAGACCTCAGCTACTCACAAACCTAGGCAAGTGGTGGTCATAAGAGTTTTAGGTGGCCGAAGGTGAACAAGTCACTGTAGGTGGGCAGTGGAAAGACTAGAGATCCACGTGGTACTTCAAGAACAGGAGAGGCAGCGGAATGGTGCTTCCTCCAGGATTAAATGGAGGAATTACATCAGTGCTTGGTCCCTCACCCTTAACCCTTACCATACCGAAACCTGGACAGTGGTGAGAAATTTGAAATACGGTTAGCAGTGTAAACGGTAGGTTAGCTACTGGTGCTTTAGTAATAAACATCCCCTCACAAATTGAGTCTTCAGGGACAGGGTCACACCTGGAAAGGACCAACACAGTACACTAAGAACTGTAAAGCAACACAAAGCAGAGCCGAGTGCCTGAAAGTCACAGTACATGCTAGCCCTGAACATCAACCACTAAAGCTTGGCAGATGAAACATCAATCAGAATAGCAACTATATAGAAACCAGCTCAAGCAGTGATATAGTGAGGAAATCATGATTATAGTCACAGAAGGGGAAAAAGCCACGTGGAACGGAAAGCTAGCAAAAAATAAACAATTTCAGCAAAATAATAAAGGCAAAGGAAGGCCTGTCTTACAATATTTATTTTTGCTTATGTCCAAACCTCCCATAGGCAGCAATAAAACCCAACTGTATCATATTTCCTGTGTTCCTCAATGGTCAAGAAAGAAAGGGCACAGCTTAAATAACAGCCTGGTACCGTATATGTGCCTTAGCATTTTGTGATATGTACACTGATATAAGAAGCCATGTATATCGGCCTTAGGTTGTCAGTACCGGCCCAACAATGTTTTACTCTTGACCCCATGTCCTACGATGTCATGTTTTAAACTGATTGAATGCCGTTATGGACTGTTTGAAACCTGTTAAAAAACGAATAGAAAACTGATTCAACACTAAATAACAGCCTGGTTCCAAATATTATTTTTCCTTTATTAAGGTTATACTGTAGTTACTATCATATGTTGTATAAATAAAAACAAGTGTACAAAGATAATTGTTCTTTATTTTGCAACCTGCACTAAAGAACTGACAATTTTAGGGGCTGTTTACACCAGGTGCATTTGACTACAATAGGCACCTTTGCCCAGGGCAGTCCCAACACAAAGACAAAGCAATTTGCCCATATTTCTATTAAGTCAGTTTACACCACTGCGTTGTGCTGTAAGATGGTAATGGGGTACAAAGAGATTTAAAATGAAGATTGCACAGAAATGACAGGCTGCATGCAGAAAGCAAAGGGTGAACATGGTGGGTCCTATAGTATGCTGCTATATATCACATTTTACATTGAAGGTTTAATATCATGCAGCACCCCCCTGACCCCCAGAGGCCTGTGGAGGACCCCCAAAGGGTAGTCACGTTAGGGACCTATTTCAATGCCTGAATAGGGATGAGCATGAGATCTTTGCTGGGAGAGGCAGCAGACATGTTCCTGAGGTCCATGCTATCTTCAGGTACCTCCAACAGTCATAGGGCTAATGGGGGGGAATGGCTCATCCCAGATGTTTACGGCAATTGCCATACTGTTTAGCTGGCCATACACTATACAGTCTGATTGTACAATCTCCTTTAGATCTACCATCAACTATGTTGTACAAGAGCCTGCTTGATTGGATACAAATTTAGAAATGTCCTTATATTACATACTTTTGGTAAATCTAAAGAAGGTTGTAAAGAAATTCTACAATTAGATGGGATGTTTTACAGTTTGTATGTGTACACCGTTTTAGTAGTGTACATTTGTCCCTCTAGCTGTATTTGCTAACCCATGGACTGCATTGTCTACAAGTGCTCTATCAGTTCTTTACTGTACACTCGATATGTTTAGCAACTTGAAGATCATTTCCTGAAAAACCAGTGGCCTGAACTTGCCTCCACGATGGTCAATCGTATTTAAGTTCCTAAAAGGGTTAAAAGCACAAGAGTGCTCATTTGAAATCTCTCTGTACCCCATTACCATCTTGCGGGTGGCCCCACTGCCTTGCAGGGTTAGTGATGTTGGAGTCATGTTAACCTCCCTGGCCGTCTGATTATTTCCTTTATTTCCTGCCGGTTCCGCCCCCTTTGCGACGCGGACGCATCAAAAACGCGTCAAAAACGCATCTAAAAGACTAGCGTGCGTGTGCAGAAACCTGACCGGATCTGCTCTGCATTTGGTGTGAACAAGGCCTTAGGCATTTTCAAAAAATTTCAACAGGAACTGCTACAGCAACATAAACTCATCAATAATGTGTCTGATGCCACCAGTATACAGCTCCCAGATCCCCAACATAAATATTACGTCAGCACACATTTCATT